AAATGGATGGGAAGGGGCAAATTAGGAGTTCTAAATTTGCAGATACTAATATACATAAAGTAGATAAACAACAAGTTTATACTGTATAACACAGGGAACTATATTCAATATCTTGTAGTAACCGATGGTGAAAAGAATATGAAAACGAATATATGTATGTTCCTATATGACTGAAGTATTGTGCTATACACCAGAAATCAACACATTATAAACTGACTATACTTCAATTTATATATATATATATATATATATAAATAAAGTAAACTTGAAACTTTAAATTTGTTTCCCACTGTCCGGCCATACTGTTTAAAGTGTGTGATGGTTTAATTTTAAAATATGTATTCTATAATTATTTAGTGATTAGCAAAAATATATCTTCATTGAGTTAGACGTGTTAATTTTTAAAATGAAAAACTATATATATATAAATACTCCATATACATTGTAACCTTCTTCTCATGTTTTGCTATGTTTAGAACCTCAGAACAAACAATCAAAAAATGTGGCCCAGGCTCTTTTAAACTCTGAGAGGCCCTAGTAGCTAAAATTAAGAACTAGATTTTTCTATCTTCTTCTTCCTTTTTTTATTTTTGACTAAGGCTACCAGATAAAATACAGGACACCCAAATAAACTTGAATTTCAGATTAAAAATAATAATTTTTAGGTATGAGTCACTGTTCCATACAAAATTTGAGACAATGAATTGTCTCTATTTTGGTTAATTGTGCAATATTTGGGATTTGGGGACATACTTATTCTAAAAAGTTATTCATTGTTTATCTAAAATTCAAATTTAACTGGTAACCCTGTGTTTTTATTTTCTCCATCTGACAAGCCTACTTTTTGACTTTTCTGTTGCTTGTGCATTTTCCCATTCTCCTTTCCCCGACCCACTACCCTTCCCCCTCAGTTTTTATTGGAACTAACTCATTTGTATGCTCTTAAAGCAAGGCTAAAATCAGATTTGATCCCTTACTGCTGGCCTAGGGCTGATGCCTTACTCCACACAGAAGAAAAGAGAACGATGCAACTCTTCTAAGATTTGGTCATAGAGCATAAATCTACTCCACCAGTGGGGAACTTCCCATTGTCACACACAGTGTTTATTAATATGCTACTATTTACATACAAATGGTAGACTGGATTAAGCTGAAGACTTGTTCTTTCCTTTTGAACTAGTATCCCCCCATCTTTCACAGTCCTTTGACCAGCAGTAGGTGAATATTCTTTGCCCCTTTCATATCCTTTCCGATTTCTGTTTGCTAGATGTATAGTGGGTGATACAAAAGGGCAGGGGCAGAGAGGATGATAATTTGTGTGGCCTGTGTTGGAAACGTGAGAGAGGAATAAAGCAAGTTAAGTAAATTACTAAGTTATGTGAGACTTAGTTTCTTCTTCTGTAGAAATAGAACCTACATACTTTATATCTCTAAACTCTTAATTTGTACCATTTTTACATCTTTTTCAGACATCTCATATTTTACATTTCAAATTAAAATTATTTGGAGACTTGAGAGTCAGACAGTTCCTGATCGAATCCCCATGCCTCTGCTTACTAGTTGAGTAAACTTGGTAAGTTTTTATTTTCTCTCAACTGATTTTCACCCCGAAACAGAGGGATAACAATAATCACCCCATTAAGTTGTTACAAAATTAGATGAGAAAATATCTGTAAAATGTTTCACGTAGTGAGTGCCTCATCCAGAATAATCAGTCAATTAATGGTAACTTTGTTTTTGCCTTATGATATGATATGATTCCATGCAGTGCTTCGTCTCCTATTCATGTCTACTGCAATGATTTGCACATATTAAGGGCTCAGAAATATTAGTTAAATAAATCAGTGAAGGGATATAAGGTTATTTATATGAAAGTGCTATGAGATTGACAGAGTGTTATAGAATTTCAAGAGGTTAGTACTAATAGTAATAATTAATAAGTAATAATAGGGGATACCTTTGAGTCTTTGATTCTGGCTCGGCTTTGGAGAACTGCTCTGCAAGAAATGTTTGATGCTTAAACCTTTTTCATCTAAAAAATTCAGTTGGGAGAGACACTATCTACAGAACAGCAACATCTACTAATCAATGGAAAATGGTTTATTCATTTTGCTTTACTTGATAAAAATTCCCATTCTTCCTTCAAAGCCTTTTTACTATATTTCTTTCAGTGTACCTGTATCAGTTAAATTAGTCTTGGCTAAATTTGACAGAGACCTACCCTTCCCCTCAAAAAATGGTTTTCATTTGTCTTTCATGTATCAGAATGCTGAGTTCAGCAGGCCACAGCCAGTGTGTTGGCCCCACAGTCATCAGGGATGCAAGCCCCAACATTCCTGCACTGCCTCTCAATTGATGTTGGCTGTTGGGACTCCGGTATCCCTTCTTCTTTATGTACTGGAGGTAGAGGGTAAAGGATAAAGGGCAAAAAAGGGTAAAAAATGAGCCCTTCCAAGTGAATCAGTCTTTAAAAAATCTTTCCAAAGCTCTGCATCTTGAATTTCACCTACTCTGTGTGAAAGAAGGAGCTGGGAAATGTCACTTTTAACAGGACACATTGCTGCCTGAATATAATTAGGATTCTGTTACTTAGGAGAAAGAGGAGAATGGATATTAGGCAAATAACTAGCAGTGTTTGCCATTGACCTCTTCACTTTTCCCTTTCATCTTCATCTTCTAAGTCCTGGTTTGCTATCCGATTGGCAATTCCTTGAATGTTCTGTAACCTGAATGATTTTCTCCTTTCTTTCTGTCTTTTTCACTGTTTCACAAATCCACCACCTCCTTTTTTATCCATGCAATCTTTTTCCTATTTTCATATCAGTTACTTAATCATCCTAAAGTTCTTCATATATTTCATTTTCATTCAATTCTAAACTACTCATACTATCCACTGTTTTCTCTCAATGCTGTCCAGCTCTGCTCTTTGACTCCATTATCATTGACTTTTACATTTTTCCACATTTAATCCAGATGCTTTCAGGGTCCTTGATCTTTTGTGATCTAGAAAACATTAACCTATGATATAATACCTGATTTTTGCTTCAAAATAATCCAGTGTTGGGAAGGAGGAAAAGTCAGTGGTATACAAATGAAACAAGATTAGCCATGTGGTGAAATTATTGAACCCAGGTGATGGATTTGTGGAGGATTCATTATGTAGTTGCTTCTAATTTTGTGCATGTTTTTAAATGTGTATAATAAAAAGCAAAGAAAGAAATGATTGCTTGAATCTCTGTTTTGCAAGCTATTGAAGTGTAAAGTCCTCTGCAAAATTTCTTCGGAAAACTCTGGGAGGCTTACATTGTTTTGTCCTAATCTTTTAGGATCTTCTCTCACATTGGTGTCACTCTGCCATCCACATCTTCCCATGTATGATTCTCAGTCTTTTCACCAAATACACACACATACACATACACACAAAGTAACTTGAATAAGGTTGTCTTTAGGAAGAGCTATTGGCCATATGCGGTCTTCACATAACATATTGCATAACAATATAAAAGACTGTCTTTCTCTTCGTTCCATGGAGCTATGTGTGGCTTTTGTCTTTTTCCTCCTCTGTCCCTCCTTTTCCCCTCTGCTAACTGAAATACAGACCTGAACTGCAGGGGCTGACCAGCTGTCATGGACCATGTACCAATGCCATTAGATGGCAGAGCCTCAGGATATAGAAGTCTGAATCCCAGAAAGCCAGAGGCTACCATATCAGCTCTGGACTGTCTTCCTTTGGTTATGTTTATGAACACAAGAGAAATAAACATCTATCTTATTTAAGCCACTGTTATTATGTTTTGTGTGTTTTTCTATTACATGCTGCCAAACCTAATCCTACTTGATGTACTTGCCAAGGCATTTTCTTTTTTCTAAACAAGTGCAATTCTGAGCCTAAGAAAATTTCTACTGCCAGATATTATTAATTTATTTTGTTCTTCACCTCATTTTACCGAACCCTGATATCCATTCCCAGGTCCAGTTATAGACCCTCTCTTGTCTCCTTGACTTGCTATTGTCTGAGCCAGTGTAACAAATAAAATCTATCACAAAGGCAAAATCTAAACAATTTAAGTATCTCATTGAAAGAGGAATGCATTATTTCAGTTATCTAATGTAGCTAACAAATCACTCCACAACTTAGTAGCTAAAAATAGCAATGATTTATCATTTCTCACAATTCTGTGGATTTACTGGGATCAGTTGGATGGTTCTTCTGTTCCACAGTGGTGCAGCTGAGGTCACTCAGGTGGGTACACTCAGCTGGAATATATGCTGTGGCCAGAACGTCCACCATTGCCTCTCACCCTCGAGGGCCTCCCTCCTTCGGGCCTTTTATTATTTTGTTGTCTTGCCTGAGAGTCTTTACAGCATGATGGCTGGCTTCTAAGAAAGGCTGTTCCAAGAGGGCAAGTCCTGATGTACAGGCACTTATTAAGCCTCTCCTTGCATTAGGCTTCTTAATTTCCATTTAGCCCAGACTCACAGAGGAGCACTAGGAGCTTTAGTAAATTATCCAGAGTCATGGATTTAGAAAGTAGTAGAATTGGGATGTAAAATGAGTTAGGCTGACTCCACATGGTGAAAATATGATTATAGCTGGGCCTACAGAGTTTGGAACTTGATTATTGTCTATTTAATATATGTAAGCTTTGGCTCTCCAATTATTGCCAATTAAAAAAATGGAAGGCAGAAAACTGTGCAGCTTTTCTGGGCAAAACCATGAATATGTTTTGAAATTTATAAAAAGATAATACAAATGCTAGAAACGTGAAAGCTGCCTTATCTTAGTGTATCCTCTGCAGTGCTGGGCAGGAAGTCACTGTACTGCATAATAGCTGCACATGATGTGACTGGATGCTATGTGCCCTGGAGCTAGGCTGAAGCACAACTGTTACCGGAAGGATGGGGGAGTGGGAGGAGGGCTGTGTCCTCCTCATGTTAGTTGAATTTCCAGGCATCACTCTGCCTCCCAGAGACTTGAGGCTTACTCTTCTTGCAGCAAATGCAGGAGATGTATAGAGACACTGAGGTTGCTGGTTGAGTTTGCATGAAATCATTACCTCGTTTCAACACCACTAGAGAAGCCTGAAGGGTGTGCATGAGGCACTTTAGCATTTTTAATGACATCCATTTCAGTTCACATCATTATGCCAAGGATGCAATGGACTCAAATCAATTGTTTTCAGTAGTAAATGGAGCCCAGAATGCACTGTAATATAATTTATTTTGCAGAAATATCACAAAATACTTCACAGGTAATTATGTTTGATGTCAAAAAACACAAACCCTGAATGTGAAAATGTGTTATGTAGGTTGGATTTAGAGAAGTGGCATGGGGTTAAGGCAGTTTGTAAAGATTAGGGAAATAGGAATTTCACAAATAGGACTCTTGTTTAATTGAAGGAGTGATGGGGAAAATTTTTAAAGAGGATAATTTTTAAGAGTAAGAGGGGATTCCTGTAGGAAATCAGGTTCCTGTTGTCTTTTGGTCTAAAACCTACTAAATGCACTTAATTAAATTACACATACTAACTACTCTAACATATTTAATTTTTATCTTTTTTGTGTACATACCATTTTGGTTGTCTGTGCAAAGTGACATGCCCTAAATTATCTGCTCCTCCCCTCCTCTGCTGTCACCTCCATCTCCTACTATTGCTCTCTTCTTTGTTCCCTCTGCTCCAGCACATTGGCATCCTTGCTGTTTCTCGAGCACAGCTGTTCCTCATGCCAGGAACATCTTTTTCTCAGCTGTCTGGACTGGTAACTCTCTTACCTCTTAGAAATATTTGCTTAAATTTCATCTTCTCTGTAAGGCCGTATTTAAAATTGTACCCCACCACCATCCTCAGCATTCCCAAGCACCTTCCTCTATTCTGCTATTTTTAAGAGCAAAAACCACCTTCTGATGTGCAACATAATTTACTGCCCTCTTTGTTGTTTGTCTCTATCTCTGCTGTGTCCAGCTAGCAAGCCCAGCAGCAGCCTGAAACTTTTCCACTTTTTATTTAATGATGTATCTCAAGAGAACATTGCTTAGCACGTGGAAGACACTCAATTAATATTTGTTGAATAAATAATAAAGCTCGCAATTTTGCAATGTCTATTTCTAAATAAGCTTTCCATGATTACACTGACATTGAGTTTTTGCATTGCCATGTGGGTATAACAGACCATAGTGCTTAATCATATGAGAAATAAAAGAATTGTATAGAAAAGAAAATTGGAGAAAGGATCTGCACTAAAAGAAGGAAAGTGTTGTTCTGACATAATGTAGGTACAGTGCTCTATTGCCATAGTTCTAGTTCACGATTTCCAAATAACAGTTCTAAAAATTGTCTGAGCTGAATGAGGCATAGGGCTAAGAAAGAGCAGTATGACAATACATTTTAACTTGCCTCACTTTCAAATTAACCCCCATTTGAAAATTCCAACTACAAACTTGTTACTCAAAGGGACTCTTGTAAATATGGATCTACTAATTTTTAAATTTTAGTTAGCAAGAAGTTAACTCATTTCAAAACAAGAATTTTTCAAATAGGTCTAATCTTATGTTAAAACACTTCAGATGGTTAGTACAAACTAGAATGCTATGATAAAAGCGACTCCTGGCCTATATCCAGTCTTAAAATAAGTGGGCGTTAGGATTGATTGCCAGTGTCTGCCATGGGCATGGGAGGTGAGAGTGTGACATTAGTCCCTGTATTTACCATCCTGGGTCTAAAAGATCCCTAAGGTCCCTTTCAGTTGTATCATTCTCTATAAAAGACAAAGTATCAAGTGTTAACAAAATTTCGAGTGAGTATATTAGGGATCATAACTAGTTGAAAGGCAAGCAATGGAAATAAAGCATCTCTGAAGATAAAATTTAAGTTAGAACTTCCATGTTAACATATGGGCTTACTTACATATATTACTTAATATGAGGTCTCTTACCACCTCATTAAAATATACCTGAAAACAATAGAAAGACGGGAGGTGTGTGTGTATATGAGTGTGAGTGTGTGTGTGTGTGTGTGTGTGTGTGTGTCTCTGTGTGTGTGTTCCTTTTTTACTTCTTTATTATCTTTTTCCCCAGCTAGGCTGTATGTTTCATAATGGCAGGAACCATAGTTGATTTGTTCATGAGTCCTTAAACATAATAGGAAATCATTAAATATATTTTAAATGCGTGAGTTGAAAGAAGACTGTGCTTTTGCAACATGATC